CCGCAACTATGACCCACATAAAATCCTATTAGTACCACTTTAAGCATGCGCATCTACAAAATAACCGGTCACTCAAGGGGACGTTTATTTGCGCTCCATATTCAAGTAGATGTTAAAAGATATCTTATCTTAAAGGTTCTACAGTTAACTATCATCGACATAAATCCGTAGAATAAATTTATCATGAGACTATCTGAGGTAGTCTTCGCTTAGTAGACTGCTTCTGATGTAGCCGGTGACGAATGAAGGTGACATGAAAAGCTGGTTCGCTGTCAAATTCAAATCGTGAGCTTACAAATGACTAAACCAACACTTTATCAACCGAGCTAGTGTGACAATAAATGAACATTAAAGAATAATTTACGCATATAACAGCTAGACAGTGCTCGTGGTGATCGCAGCTAAATAGTTGGATCTCGCAGATCGGCTGGAAGAGTGCAAGACTAGTAATTCACAGGCTGCCAAGAGTAAGACTTTCATTTCATTTTTAATCATCACCCACTAAACAAATAAGATAATTGCGTTCTTTTGGTGGATGGTGAGAAGTAGTCAAATCCAGTGATCGAAACTGCCTAGTGGATAACACACTGAAGTTTTAAACAGTAGGTGTTGATTTCGGGATCATTAGGAATCCCAGATACATCTAGATGACAAGTCCCTAATAGGACGAAATGCGCATCCTGGGTTTCGCTGTTAATCACAACCCACTAAGTTAATCTTCGGACACAGGCAAAGCATCCATACTACGAGCCAGTATGTCAACACAGATCGTATATTGTGATCCATCTATGAGTATTAGCTATTAATTAAGTTATATCTCCGTTGCCATTTCGCTCCAGTGTTGTCAACAGACGAAATGAAACACACCATTTCAAATAAAAACAGTAATGTAGGCAAAATGATGTCTTCAAGCAATTCTTTTCAAATAAAAGAGTAAATCTTCCTTATTCTAATGAATTGTAAATCTAAAGTAAGTGTATTATATCTCAGAAGTGAATAAAACTGAAATTTTATGAGTGCTCTCGCCATAATTCTATTCATATTACCCAATACTTCAGTCCAACTGTTATAGTTTAATCACTAATTTTTTTTAAAATACTGTTATCTCAATCGCATTTAAGAAGATGAACTAGGATTATCTCTTCACTGTTTTTCTCAATATAAACAAGCTAATTAATATTCATTAGGGTAAATTCAGTAGAATAAAGGTAAACGTATTTGATTGGTTGGAGGATTTCATCATGAGCTGATATCATTTAGAGAAGCACTGGAAACCTGGAAGTAGTTGACAGTTGTTTCAGCCTAATTCGGTACTGTTCAGCGGAACGCACCCACCTGGATCTGAGCCCACGACCGTTCGGCTACAAGGCAAGCTTGTAGACCATTAAGCCACTGGGACCCGAACCAATGGCAAGCCCATGAATTCTAACTTCTGCTAATGACATAGCGCGACCACTTCGCAATATCTTCTTCTTCGATGAGTAACTGTCCTCATCTTCAACCTGCAGTACCCTATTGGTAAAGGCTTCCAACTAGAAGCCCAGGTAACTGCCTAGAGTATACGAGCTCGCCTTGAAGCCAGAATGTCCTGGGTTCGAACCCCATCGGTGGGTGCGTACTACTGAAGAGTCCCAAACTAGGATGAAACAGCTGTCCAGTGACCCCAGTTTTTCCAATGGTTCTCTAACTGATGTTAGCTCATTATGAAATCCCACCAATCAAGCAAAATCCTTACAAAGATGAATACTTGTAAAGCGAACGTATTTGTTTAAACTGATTTATATTTCCCACTGCTGATTGTTATTATGTATTATGTCAACGGAGATCTAACTTACACCAATAATAACTAACACCTATTGCATAAAAAACAAAATGATTCACGTAACTCAATGGATAAAGCTTTGGAGTTTGAAAGCTTGTGTGCTGTGTTTCAGTCCCAGAGGAAATACTGTCACACCGAAAATGCAGGTGCATTCACCTGAAGAGTCCTAGATGAGTTTCCAGCGTAGAACGTTCCATAAAACTGCAGCAATTCAAGTTGCTATACTCCACATGGCACATGAAGGGCAGAGAGGAGAAAATGCAAACAACTTTCATGGAGGGAAATGTATGGACGAAAGAATAATTACATGAAGAATAATGAGGATTTAATGGATCCGAGATATTGCAAATACCCAGTGCATCTGCACCATTAAGAACGATTTCGAGCCTTACTGACTACAATCTACAGCCATTGCTAATTATCGTCTCAAGAACCTCAGACAAACGACCAAGTGCCCACTCTGGATTACACTTAACGTAGACTTCTTCCGAGATAAAGCTTTTTCATCCAATCGATATAGCATTAAAGTCTGAAAACTTCTCAGTGAACTAAATAAATTACACTGAATACTGATAAATTGAAGTGAAATGAAGAGAACTTTCTATTCAAATAGGAAACGTTTCCTTACTACTGATATATGTTAAGTAGTGTGAATTATTTAACACAAATTAAAGCGAATTATTTTCAGAAATAAGAAACGAAAATTATTTCTAATACGTACGTGATAGAATATGTTGAAATCTACTAATAACTACATAGCAGTCATTATATTGAAGGAATGCATCTTTTCCAGTATGTAAGATTTATGCTTCACTCTCTTCCAAGAAACATTTCAATGAACCTAGTGATTTAATTAACTAACGAGAAACGATATCCTGTGAGCAGTTTATCTCAGAAGACCATCACGGCTTGTTGCCTACTAAAACTGACAACACTGTGTAATTTCCGCCGAAGGTATCCTGAAGGGAACTCTTAACACCAGCTGTTGTGGTCAGCAGTGGATAATTTCTGAAAGTAAGCAATTGAGCTTTATGACTTTACATCTCAATCGAAATATTTCAATTCATGGTCAGACACTGATATATATATATATACATATATATATATCGGTAGTTAGGTCTTACCTAGCCAAACGAGAGATGATAGTTGTACGAACTTTAGGCTTAATAGTACGAATGCCTATCGCCTTAGCTATATGCAATAAGCAAATACGCAGTCAATTGGAAAGATTCGATATGATGCAATAAATCACCTTGAATGCTTTCGGCTTTCTCCACTGAATGACCAATATCGACTAAATGCGACAAGTTATAACTGACTGGAATGGAGTTCTATGCATGATTCACATCACCCTCCACACAATCAATCAAATAATGTGAGTTTGAGATGGTCAGTTAACGCTGAACTTCTTCAGTAATGCGTGCAAGATAATTACAAATTGATCGTCATAAAAACATGGAAGGTATGACTTACCACTTACGTTAGAGAAGTGGAATGAATCGACAGGAGAAAGGGATTTCCAAACTTTTGCATAACAACTGTATCTATCAATTAATGAGTAAGCGGAGACAAAAGAATTGAAAGACGTATAGGGTTGATGTTTGCACTTCTAGACACGTGACAGATGTTAAAAACGAATAGAATAAATGAGGGATAAAATCCACAAAGCAAGCAAGTATGCCTGTTAAGATCATTCAAAGGACGGTCCATTACTTGAAGTTGCTTTCGGAAAGAAAAGAAAGGAGGAAATTACAGTATATTGGCTACTGATTACGATTCTCAGGTATATCTGATAACGTCTTGAGCCACTTATGACAATTATCTTTCCAATGGTAACCTAGTTCAGCCATCCTCCATCTGACAGCGTCATGTCATAGACTGACTACATCTCCACCCTTCTCACCCACACCAAGGGCTAGCGAACCGAGAACGGTATGGGAGACAGTGGAGTGGAATTAGTAGCTTATGCGGGTAATTCGATGATCGGACACGAAGTGTCACCTTACATCCTCATCAGAGAGGGACCAGGTCTCATAGGCGTCGAGCAAAACTACGACCACCGAGGCATTGTAAACTCGACGTTTGACAACCAGGCTAACGTTACGACAGCCCTAAAATGGTCCTGATTTCACTGAGCGTCAAAGATCTCATCCATCACACAAATGTCCGCGTTCATACAACTACCTAAATGTACGAACTTGTTGGCTACTTCCAACGGTCCATTTACGAGGGTAAATTCTGCTACAGACTCCAGTTAATCTTGTAACAATGTTTGGTACTTAGACGGCATAAAACACTGATTAAGGGCGATTTGAACAGCCTGTATGTCATTGCACAGTAAGACAATATCATCTCAATACTAGAGGTTGAAAAGTCTTCCTCCAGACAGAAGATCCACACAACCATGGGTATATATATATGTATATATGACTTGTGGTGGGTATCGGTCCACTTTCGGTTGCCAGAGTGCCTAAGTAGTGCTGTACATAGGAAAGAGTTAAGAGGCACAATAAATTCTGACACGATTAAAGCTTAATCCCATGTTCATTCGTTGTGACCTCATCTCCTCCTCTAGGAGTTAACTGAATGAAAAGATGTTATATCATAACGAATAAACGAGAAACCAAAAGTCGCTTTTGATAGAACTTAAAAATCAAAATGTCGAGATTTTCTTAATGTATTATATAACAGTTTTCAGATGAAATAAGACCTAAAAATTTAAAGGCTAACAGTACTAAAAGTGCTTTTCTTGCTTTGAAGAAGATGGTTAAAGGGACACTGCGTACGGTTACAGGTGTCAGAAGTTTCAAATCTGTAACCCATTAATGGAGTGTGCAGTCTATAGATCAATGAAGTAAAAATTCACTCATCTCAATTGCACCTCCGTGTAAAATGGAAATAAAAGAAACGCCGATTTAAATTACTCCGGTGATCATCAACTGAAAATGACCCCCAACACCAGCATAATTTTAAAAAATCACACGTGTGAATGAGGTTACATTTCATTTAATTCAAAACATTTATTTACAACCAGTTACATAGGCGAAAGTGAAGAAACTGTTCTGTACAATGGGGCAAATCTGTTTGCTTTAAATACAAAATAGAACATAAAAATACTGTAAGTAGAAAAACTAGTTAGCTAGTTTACATTTGTGCTTCAATAAAAGCATCCTACTTATCACTGTTCAGTCCATATGTGATGACACTTCATACAAGAGTATTTGATTGTGCTGGGTTCATCAGCTGAACGAGTTTGCATTTGGACAAAATACGCTCGTGTATGATTACATTTAGGACATTTCTCATCTATTTGAGCAGAGGAGCTGTATTCATCGTCAACAGAGAAAACGGCATCTTCTTCTAGGCGTAGACGGAGGTCTTGTCTCGGTTTATGTTCTAAAACCAGGGGTTGAGTAACAAACCATCGGTAAGAACAAGTAGGAGCAGAACAATTTAGTGAATAACAATGTGCTGATTCTTCAATCATTAATAAAGAGTGGCAAAGTGGGCAAAACAGAACAGGCATTATTCAATAGATATGAGACAGCGAAAATGCAATATAGTTTCTTTTTAGGGATCCATGAAATACTTTGAGAATAGCTGAAAACAAGAAATACAGAGAAAGACAGATGTTGTATTATAATGGAAGGTAGGTTGTCTTTTAAATAATTTGAGCGCCGAGTCAGATTGATTCATTATAATATTATTAAATCTGCTGAAGAAGCTGTGGCTTACACAGCGAAACGTTCAGAAAAATCTTGTTTTGATTTTCTTAACACGCTGGGATTAATTTAAATAATTTATAATGTCTTTTAAATACTTCAACGAACTACAAGTTGCACACTGGGAAATAGTTTATTACCTTTGTGAAATTTTCATTCATATGAGAAGTGAGTAATAAGAACTTCATATTGGTGACACAGGTAGAAGTAAGCCGCAACAGTCCAAGTACCGTGATAGGACGAAGTTCTTCTACTGACAGAAAAAGACCGCTGTCGAAAATATGTTAATGGCTTCGAATGAATGGTTATTTTTACTTCTATTGCTCTTGTCATAATAACTCAAGAAACCAGTTTTCAGCGAGCACCCTATATAAGAGCGTGCTGTAATAATATGATGACCATGGTAACCTGCACCTCAACATAATAGGTACAATTCCATGCCTTCTACACCTGGACTATAATTCAATAGAGCAGGTAAGACTGAAAATATTATATATTTGTTGGAGTACGTTTTTCAAAATTTATTTAGACCTATAGGTTATCACACCTGGTTAGTGTGAAAGTACCAGTTGTGTCAAGTTGTCTTAGACGAGCATATTTTTTGGTTACTTGATGAAAAGGGAGTATCAAATATTATTGAAATTCTCAAAAGAAATAACTATTCAAGGGATTTCATAATCAAAATCAACACCAATATTAAATATGGTCGGAAAAGTATCCCGTAGACATGGACCTCAAAATTTTCACTCCAATATAGATCAGATACGTCGGATGATATCAGAAGAGTACCCAACAAACACAAAATCAGAGTTTTCTTCAAGAAACCAGACACAATAAAAAGCACCCATGTTCAGGTGAGATTGAATTCCAAAGGATTCACAATGTTTCTATAAAGTGAAATGCTTAGAATGTGATGCTATATACGTCGGACAAATCTCACGAGAAATCAAGATCAGAAGAGATGAACACCGTAGAACCCTGTATTCGGCCACTGAGAAATTCAGTGGAACTACAAAGCCTGGGAAGTCCTCAACCACAGAATCAGGTCACAAAATTAATTTCAACGACACTGAAGTCATCCAGAAAGATTTCAAAAGTCTTAGAGAACGTTTCATATCAGAAGCACTTTATATTAAATGGAATCCAGATTGTCTGAATAGGAATGACGGATTACGACAGAATCTGACCTGGTTCTAACACCCAATCCTACCCCTATGAAGTGACAAAATCAACACAAATGCAATAAGCAATTTCGCAACGTAAACACATGCTGTTTTTATAATTTCATACACTTACCAAATCCAACGATCTGAACATGAATAATCTTCATCAATTCACCCAAATGACAAAGTAAATATAAACTCATAATGAAAAACTAGGATTAAGTTACTGTAAATAAGCTGAGATTTCGTAAATTCTGATTTAATTTCACTTTGAAAAAGCTATTAGCACTAAGTAGCGAAATGCCAGTAGAAGCAATATCATTCTGTTTTCATCCATTGGGAAATACACAGACTTTTAAAATGATGCATAACACACACCCAATGCCCAAATCTCTTCAAACTATTGATTTTAAACTACGTTTGGGCATACATATTTCAGCATTATGTTGAGCCAGTGTATTTTAAGAAGTATGGGTGCTAAACATATACCTGAAGAAATTGAACGTATACGTAAAACTGCTGAGTTCCATAAAAGAAAGATGACATATCTAAGCACAACATTTACTTCTTATTCTTCAGACAATGTCATCTTGGCTTTAGGCAAAACAGGTGTAATTCTAGAAATGGAAAATGAAGGATTCGTTTTTGATCTCACTGTGACTACAATGATGATTTCATTTCATCATTCAAATCCACTAGTGTAGAGATATTACGATGCTCGATATTCAGTCACGAGACCTCCTGGACATCTTATTGTAATGTAACTCACAAATGTAAAGCAGTCCCTAAGCAAGCTTACGAAGTAGTCATCCCATTACTTCATACTTCAGCATGAATTTACTTTTGACTAGCTGTCTAGTTTTTGTTTACATACTTTAGTTGCACGAACGTATGAATTATAATTTAACTTTCTTTTTCAGATGTTACTGATGTTGTCAAGTCTGCATTCCTATCCCCTATGTGATTAATGCTGATAGTCATACTGTAGTTCAATTGTAAGTTTTCTCTGGGTTTGTAAAGTATATGTTTACAAATACTGTTACTTTTTACTTTCATTGAATCTACTATTACAGAATTCAACTCGGATAAAATGTCTCGTAATTCTTCAATTGGAGGAAGATGACAGTGAATTTACCATCCTAAACACGTGAGTTATGTGCATACAACAGCTCTGCAAACCATTTAGAGCTTGTATCTGGTGGGCAGGATAGTCACAGCATCCTTTTCGTCTGCCTCAAGAGTGGGGTAAGTCAAAATATTTCGAATGTCACATTTTCAAATACCTACGAAAACTGTTAAAAGTCTGTGAAGCTTCCCAGAAGCTTTGGCCGGAAACTAAAGACCTAGAGACTTATGACCATATATTGTTAATGGCTGGTAGAAGACCTAAAACGTAAGTAACGCTTTCAGTGAACAAGATACTTTTCAAGGATGGAAAGAAGATTGATAAAGAGATACTTCTTAACTCCATTAAAATACTAGAAGCTTTGATGTGGTTGTGTTCTCTGAGCTGGATAGTTAATTTGCGAAGCTTTCATCACCCTACTAGGTGACATCTTCAGCGCATACTTCAATTTGAAGTGAGCTTTTAGATTTCTCCACGAGTTTATTAATCATCTTCCGGTGACCTTGGACGTGATTGGTTGTTTTTGTGTGTTTTCACACCTTCTAGGCTACTTGTATTGGAACTGATTGTTTCTTTGACTTGAACTTTGACCCTTTGTGTGTGAGGTTTCTTTCTTATCGGTTGATAAATTTTGTCTATCTCGATGTGTCTATTGATTGATGATTCACTGGAATGCCAAGCTTCTAAAAATTCTCTAGCATTCTTGTTGTTTCCTCTGTCTAATATTTGAACATTGTCCCAGTCGAATTGATGTCCGTGGTTGTCTGTATGTAGTGATATGAGGGAGTGGATGTCATGTCTTTTGACGGCTAGCTTATGTTCGTGGATACGAAGACGAAGGGGACGTCCACTTTGGCCAATGTAGTGTTTTTCGCAGTTGTTACAATTTATTTTGTAGATGATGTTGGTTTTATCTTCTTTCGCTGTTGAGTCTTTTGGTTGACATAGAACTGAGTGAAGTGATTTTGTTGGTTTGTGTGCGACGTCAATTCCTAAAGGTTTGACGAGTCTTGCAGTGATTTCTGATATATCCTTTATATATGGCAGGGCGACTTTCTTTGTGCTTTCCTTGGGGGCTTTTGGTTTGATAGGTTGGCTTGGGGGTATGTCTTTTGATGAAATTCCGTGGATATCCATTCTTTTGGAAGACGTCCATGAGATATCTTTCTTCAATTTTCCTTAAGGTGGGAGTGCTGCAATGAGTCCTGGCCCTCTTGAATAGTGTTTGTATGCAATTCCTTTTGTGTGTTATTGGATTGTTGCTGTTGTAATTCAGTATTTGATCTGTGTGAGTTGATTTTCTATAAACTTGGGTTTCTAATTCCCCTGTGGTTGTTCGCTTGACTAAGACGTCCAAAAATGGGATTTTGTTCTCGGATTCCTCTTCTCTTGTGAATTTGATGTCGTTGAAGACGTTGTTTATTAAGTTGTGAGTTTTATCTAACTCGTTTCTTTTGATTATTACAAATGTGTCATCTACGTAACGTATCCAAATCTTGGGTTTGATCTTTGGTAGGATTATGTTTTCGAGCCTTTGCATCACTGCTTCTGCAATCAAACCTGATATTGGCGATCCCATGGGTGTTCCTTTGACTTGTTCATATATTTGGCCGTTGAATTGGAAGTACGTTGTTAGGCATAGGTTTATGCATTCCATCCAGCTTGTGTGTTGCATTTTTGATTGTTGTGGGAGGTGTTCGTCGTTGCTGAGTAATTGTTCCATGGTCTCCTTTGCTAGTTTTTGTCCGATTGAGGTATATAATGCTGTGACGTCGAAGGATATCATTATTTCTTGTTCATCTATTTGGATGCCTTTGATTTTCTCTAGAAATTGGATAGCAGAGTTGATGGAGTGATCACAAGATTCCGTTAGGTGTTTCAGTTTTCTGTATAATTCTTTGGATAAGTTATATGTTGGAGTTCCTGGGAGCGATACAATTGGTCGTAATGGGATATTTGGCTTGTGTATTTTGGGTCTGCCGTAGAATCGGGGTAGGACTGGTCCATTGGATTTCATTCGCCATTGGTCTTGTTTTGTGATCTGTCCAGTTTTGGTGAGCTTGTTTAAGGTCCTTTGGATGCGGTTGTCCAATGTTTGTATGGGATTTGTTGAAAGTTGTTGATATACATCCTCGTCTTTGAGTAGTTCTTCAGCTTTCTTGGTGTATTCTTCTCTGTCCATGACTACTGTTGTTCTTCCTTTGTCGGCTGGTAGAATGACGATGTCTTTCCTATTTTTCAGCTTTTTGAGGGCCTTTAGTTCTTCAGAGTTGAGTTGTGTGTGTTGCTTTTTCTGTTTGACCATTGGTACAATTGTTTGGCGTATCTCTTCCTGTGTTTCCTCGTTCAAGTTTGATGATTTGAGTAATGATTCAAGGGTAGAGAAGAAATCAGTTTTCGAGGCATCTCCGGTGTTGTAGTTTAGTCCTTTTTGTAGTAGTTGTTGTTCCGTTTTTGATAGTGGTTGTTTTGATAGGTTGACTACGCAGTCAATAGGTGTATTGTCTTGGTTGTTGTTTTCTAATCTTGGCTAGCTTGGTTTTGAGGACTCTTCGTCTTTTTTCTCTGTAATTTCTACTTGACAATGGAATTGCGGTGATCAGCGTTGACAGGTGTCCCTGGTTGAGGATTTTCTCTAGTTTTTCTTTTTGGACATTTATTATTTGTTGATATTTGTTGATCCGATAATGTGCGTCTCTAATCATTAATTTGATCATTCGTTGTCCAAATTGCTCGGCCAATTTCCATCCGATTGGTGATACATGGAAATTGGCCGAGCAATTTGGATAACGAATGATCAAATTAATGATTAGAGACGCACATTATCGGATCAACAAATATCAACAAATAATAAATGTCCAAAAAGAAAAACTAGAGAAAATCCTCAACCAGGGACACCTGTCAACGCTGATCACCGCAATTCCATTGTCAAGTAGAAATTACAGAGAAAAAAGACGAAGAGTCCTCAAAACCAAGCTAGCCAAGATTAGAAAACAACAACCAAGACAATACACCTATTGACTGCGTAGTCAACCTATCAAAACAACCACTATCAAAAACGGAACAACAACTACTACAAAAAGGACTAAACTACAACACCGGAGATGCCTCGAAAACTGATTTCTTCTCTACCCTTGAATCATTACTCAAATCATCAAACTTGAACGAGGAAACACAGGAAGAGATACGCCAAACAATTGTACCAATGGTCAAACAGAAAAAGCAACACACACAACTCAACTCTGAAGAACTAAAGGCCGTCAAAAAGCTGAAAAATAGGAAAGACATCGTTATTCTACCAGCCGACAAAGGAAGAACAACAGTAGTCATGGACAGAGAAGAATACACCAAGAAAGCTGAAGAACTACTCAAAGACGAGGATGTATATCAACAACTTCCAACAAATCCCATACAAACATTGGACAACCGCATCCAAAGGACCTTAAACAAGCTCACCAAAACTGGACAGATCACAAAACAAGACCAATGGCGAATGAAATCCAATGGACCAGTCCTACCCCGATTCTACGGCAGACCCAAAATACACAAGCCAAATATCCCATTACGACCAATTGTATCGCTCCCAGGAACTCCAACATATAACTTATCCAAAGAATTATACAGAAAACTGAAACACCTAACGGAATCTTGTGATCACTCCATCAACTCTGCTATCCAATTTCTAGAGAAAATCAAAGGCATCCAAATAGATGAACAAGAAATAATGATATCCTTCGACGTCACAGCATTATATACCTCAATCGGACAAAAACTAGCAAAGGAGACCATGGAACAATTACTCAGCAACGACGAACACCTCCCACAACAATCAAAAATGCAACACACAAGTTGGATGGAATGCATAAACCTATGCCTAACAACGTACTTCCAATTCAACGGCCAAATATATGAACAAGTCAAAGGAACACCCATGGGATCGCCAATATCAGGTTTGATTGCAGAAGCAGTGATGCAAAGGCTCGAAAACATAATCCTACCAAAGATCAAACCCAAGATTTGGATACGTTACGTAGATGACACATTTGTAATAATCAAAAGAAACGAGTTAGATAAAACTCACAACCTAATAAACAACGTCTTCAACGACATCAAATTCACAAGAGAAGAGGAATCCGAGAACAAAATCCCATTTTTGGACGTCTTAGTCAAGCGAACAACCACAGGGGAATTAGAAACCCAAGTTTATAGAAAATCAACTCACACAGATCAAATACTGAATTACAACAGCAACAATCCAATAACACACAAAAGGAATTGCATACAAACACTATTCAAGAGGGCCAGGACTCATTGCAGCACTCCCACCTTAAGGAAAATTGAAGAAAGATATCTCATGGACGTCTTCCAAAAGAATGGATATCCACGGAATTTCATCAAAAGACATACCCCCAAGCCAACCTATCAAACCAAAAGCCCCCAAGGAAAGCACAAAGAAAGTCGCCCTGCCATATATAAAGGATATATCAGAAATCACTGCAAGACTCGTCAAACCTTTAGGAATTGATGTCGCACACAAACCAACAAAATCACTTCACTCAGTTCTATGTCAACCAAAAGACTCAACAGCGAAAGAAGATAAAACCAACATCATCTACAAAATAAATTGTAACAACTGCGAAAAACACTACATTGGCCAAAGTGGACGTCCCCTTCGTCTTCGTATCCACGAACATAAGCTAGCCGTCAAAAGACATGACATCCACTCCCTCATATCACTACATACAGACAACCACGGGCATCAATTCGATTGGGACAATGTTCAAATATTAGACAGAGGAAACAACAAGAATGCTAGAGAATTTTTAGAAGCTTGGCATTCCAGTGAATCATCAATCAATAGACACATCGAGATTGACAAAATTTATCAACCGA